AAAAAAAAAAAAAAAAGCTAAGGTTTGAAAGGCCAAGAGATTTCCCAAAGTTCAACAATTACTAGGAGGTAAAGGTGAGATTTTAACAAAGCCTCCCTCAATCAAAATCTCGTATCAGGTTGATTCTGCTATAGTTCCAGCCTTCCCTGAAGAAGTCCTGAGAGAACTACCCCACCTACTTATGTCCCAAGAACAGTTACCCACCCCACTTGTGCTACAGTACCTAAGGAAATAGCGCCAAGGTCCAGGCAAGCCCTGGCCACCCCCAAGGTTTCTACTGCAACCATGTCCCAGCCCTTCCCCACAAACCTGCCATCTGAAGGTTTATTCATGAAGCTCCACTTGAGGCCAGTGGGGAAACCAGCACCCCCACGACCCCGCAAGCCTGATGTCTTGATCTCACCCAGGATCCAGTCAGGCCCCTTCAGGAGAATCTCCTTTGTTTTGTACCAGTCACCTCGACACTGGGCGCCTTTCAGCCTGCACATAACCAGGAAAGTAATGATAGGGAGGCCCTGCTATGGCACTCAGAAGAGCCAAGGGCAAAGTCTTACCTCCAGTCATGGCGGCCATACAGATTGGTAAAGATGCGGTCCTCATCCTTCAGTGAGCCAAATGAGGTTTTTTTAGCTGCTGCCTGGAGAGTCAGAGGGTTAGAAAGACCAGCAGAAATCTGGAGGCAAGCCAGGTTGGGCCAAAAGCTACAGATTCTTGAGTCTTCCTGCTTAGAAGGGGCTGGTCAGAGGGCAGAGGCCTAAGCCTCAAAACTCTTTGGGGCTGGGCATGGTGGTGCATGCCTATAATCCCAGCTGAGGCAAGAGGATCACTGCCAGTTCAAGGCCAGCCTGAACTACACAGCGAGACCCTGTCTCAAAAAAACAATGACAAAACAAAACAAAACAAAAACAAATCTCTTTTAAGTATCATAATTACTACCACCACTTAAACACTTCTGTTTAATGTGTACTGGGCTAAACATTTATAACCAAAATCTCAATTCTTTCTCATAACCCTGAGACAGAAATGATTTTCTATCCTTTTAAAGGTAGGAAACTGAGACTCAGAGTAAAAGGAAATCATGGAAGTCACACAGCCAAAGGTGCTGATGGAGTTTGAGTCCAGGACTGTCCATGGCCAAAATCCTCACCTGAAACATGACATCATATGATCTCCCTAAGACCACTGTGTTGGCATGTGCATTTGCCTGGCTCTCCTGCTGCCCAAACTTGGGTTAGACAGAGATTTTTTTATTATTAACTCTGTCAAAGAGACAAAAAGTATTTGCTGATGGAAAACAGGAAGGAAGGAAAGAAGGGAGGGATGGGGAAGGGAGGGGAAGAAAAAAGAAAAGAAAGGAAACGGAAAAGGAGAGGGGCTCACTGGGCTGGGAAACCAATTAGGATAAAATCATCAGGTGAGGACTGGAATTCCACACGAGCTAGCAGAAATACCCGGCTCAGGGTAGAAAGACCTGACTTCCAGACTTCCATCCCTTTAAAGTACTTCTCGGCCACTACAGGGAGCAAAGCACTGGGGAGGGGGACTCAGGAGGAGCGCATCTCTCTTCAAAGGTGTTTTATG